TTTTCCACAGGGGTTTGGATGAACAACCTGTTCATCCAGGAAGAGAGACTTGATATTTTCTTGAGTGCAATATCCTACTCTCCTGAGCAAGTAGATGGGGACAGGGGGCAAAATAGCCCTCCTGTAATCCAGGAGGAAGCTGTTAGTGACCTGCTGAGCCACTTAGATGCTGACAAGTCTATGGGACTGGATGGGATCCATCCTAGAGTGATGAGGGAGCTGGCAGACGGGCCTGTGAAGCTGCTCTCCGTCATCTAACATCAGTCCTGGCTCCCTGGGGAGGTCCCTTATGACTCAAGGTAACCCAATGTGAATCCATCTTTAAGAAGGGCCAAAAGGAGGATCTGGGAAATGACAGGCCTGTCAGCCAGACCTTGGTGCCTGGCAAGTTTATGGAACAGATCATCTGGAGTAAAATCACACTTCACCTACAGGACGCCCAAGCAATCAGACCCAGCCAGCATGGATGTTGGAGAGGCAGGCCCTGGTCCGGGATCTGCCTGGTGTATGAGGGCAAGGCTGTGGATGTTGTCTACCCAGACTAGTGAAGGCTCTGGAGAACAGATCCTATAAGGAGTGGCTGAGGGAACTGGGGGTGTTTAGCCTGGAGAGGAGGAGGATCCGGGGAGAAATTATCACTCTCTACTACCACCTGAAAGGAAGTTGTAGCCAGGTGAGGGTTGGCACCTTCTCCCAGGCAACCTGCAATAGCACAAGAGGACCCAAGCTGTGGAAGGGGAGGTTTAGGTTGGACATTAGGAAGTTCTTCACAGAAAGGGTGATTATACATTGGAATAGAATGATTAAATATTGGAATAGGCTGACTGGGGAGGTGGTGGAATCGCTATCTCTGGCGGTGTTTAAGAAAAGACTGTATGTGACACTTAGTACTGTGCCTAATTGACAAGGTAATGTTAGGTCATAGACAGGACTCAATGATCCTAAAGGTCTTTTCCAACCTAGTTGATTGGGTGAAATAGGATGTGAAATTTAATTTGTGATTTTTTTTTTAAGAGCGCAGAAGATGGGTTTTCTGAGACCCCCACTGACAAAGTGGGACTGGGTTTACCCTGCAATTACCGAACGCGGGGAGGTAGGAAGCCTTTAATCCGGGGTGCGAGCTGCTCACTTCCCCGCAGAAAGGCGTCAGCGCAGCCCCGGAGCCGTCGAGGTGCAGCGTTCCATTCCCCCCGACCTCCTCCCGCTAGTCCCCTGTGGGCTCGTCCAAGGGCCGCCCCTTGCAGTCCCACCGCTCCCCCGCCCCTCCGAGCGGCCGCGACGGGAGACTACATTTCCCGGCGTGCCGTGCGAGCCAGGGCCGTACCGTATGCGAGGTGGAGGGGGGGAGCGGCGAGGGGCGCGCGTGAGTTGAAGTGCCGGCGAGGCGGTCGGTAAGTGCCGCTCCGAGCGCCGCCGGAGCGCCCGGGCCTTCCCACCCTCACGGCCGCCACGGCGACTCCGGGCCCAGGCAGCGAATGCCGCCCGCAGCTGCGGCCCCGGCGGCGGGGACCCGGTTGTTGCAGGGCTCGGCGCGGCCGGGGCTGCTCGTGGAGGCGGGAGCGG